AATTCCTGGTGGCATCAGAAAAGACCAGAGAGAACTTTCCAGGAAAGAGGGCCAGAGCACGTGTAGCCTGGGATACAGTTTCCCCAGGATCACAGTTCCAGGTTTTTGTCCAAATCAAGATCCTGCTGGTCAGGAGAGCTGCGTGATAAAATGGAAGCATCAGGACTGCGGCAGACCACGGTCATGTTAACTCTGGGGGCCTCCAGCCTGGGAGCTTTGCAGCTTTGCAGCTTTGGCTAAAAGCCTAAACTGTCTCCTCCTTCTCCATGGAGAAGCAGGCGGGCTGTCTCAGGAAGCTGTTCCGAGGAGAACCCCGGTCTGGCTATGGAAGGAAGCAGCCTTCTCTTAGGCAAAGTATTGGAGAATATGAAACACTCCCCTCCCTTGGGTAAAACCCTACTTACTGACTTGTAGGTGTGCATAAGTACACATGTGCTTTGAGTGTGTGAGGGCATGGGCAGGTTCATGCTTCACATGAGCATACCATGTGAAGCACGCCTTTGCCAGGCCTCATTCTTTTGGGTGAAAGTTGGGTGTTGATTACCAGGGTTCGCCAGGCTCCTGCTGCCTCTTATGGCCTCTTGTCCCAAGGACAAGTGGCTGCAGACTCACTCCCACAGCCCATCTGCCTTGAATTCTCCAGGGAAAGTCCCTCCCAGGGTCCTATCCCTGGAGCTCCTTTAGGTTTTGTAAAATGCATCATCAAAAGACCTCACATTTTCATTAAGATCTTTAAAAACTGCTTCGGGGTAGGATCAGGCTATCTGAAGGAGCCTAATCCAGTGGGCCAAACCTCTGCGAGGGAACTGTGAATTAATTCAGCATTCATTCATTCACGTCTTATGGCATTCAGACGTTAACACAAATAATTCCTGAGCACCCACTGGTTAGCTGACTGTATCGAGTATGGGAAAGACGAATAGAGCAGCTTCCTCTCTTCCCCACGACCTTCTTGGAGCCGGCAGAGCCTGCAGTCCAGGACCGGCACCCTAAGGTGAAGGCTGCAAGCCAGAGCAGAGGCAGGAAAGGAGAGTCAGAGACAGGAGGGGCCACTTTCTGCGGTGGCCAGGTAAGGAGCAGCAGAGTTCTGAAGGCGACTTTTTACGCCCTGCTTCTCTTGGAGTCGGGGCGGGGGGAGCTTTAGTTGGCTAACCTCGGCCAGAAAAAAGTAAGACCGCACTGGCTTTTTAAAAGCTCCGCGCTGGACCCCTGGTTTCTCCAGCGGAGCCCGCAGGCATGGTTGAGAGGATGCCCCACAGAGGGCGCCGTGTGTCCGGCTTTGGAGGGAGTCGCCCGCGCAAGGGAGCGGAGGCAACGCCCCTCTGGGAGGGCGAGTGGCCCCGCTGGGGGCCGGACGCCCTCCAGCTTCCTCGGAGCCGAAGGGACTAGACTCTCTGTATCCCGCTGTGTAAGCCCAGCATCCCTGAAACGGAGGATGCTGACACCCGAAGAGCTCCCCTCCCGCAACACATACGCGCACACATGCCAAGCGCACCTGCGCGCTCCCCGGGAATAGAGTCACCGGGAGAACTCGGGGCGACAAAGGAAGAGCGAGCCTCGGGTAGCCCATGGCAAGAGGGGGTGGGGTGGGGTGGGGGGGGAGGCGGTCCCGGACTCCCCTGCCAGCCCACCCCGGCCCTTCCCCGTCCGGATCTAGTACTGGAGTTGGGATCCACCAGGTGTCCATCCCCCCAGACAGAACTCGCAGCTCTTTGGGCGACGTCTGCCGGGAGCTTCTTTTTCGAGGGAAAGGCGCTTTTCCACTGGTCTCCGCTTAAAGACGGCTTCTGTGCATCAGAACTTGGGCCAACTTGCCACGCGCCCTCCCGCGCGGCAGGCTCCCACGGCGCGCACACGCACACGCACGCAGGGGCTTCCCCGCGCGCACTGGGCCGCTTGGCAGGCGGTGCTCACCAACCCGCATAGACCTACGTGCATTGAGCTCTTTCTGCGGTGGGGGAGTAATGACCTCTGGGTGTCCAGCTGGGTGACCTGGGCCTCGTCTCCTCCTGTCCCAGCGCCTGCCTCTCCACCTGTGAAATCCGAGTGTGAGATCCATCCTGCGAGGTCGAGTCTTGGGGCTGTGGTTCGTTTCAACTCAGAGTTTGGATGGAGCCGCGTTCTGCACTCTAGTAATGCCTTGTAGCAAAATCAAAGGAGTAATGATGGCGATGATATTGTTTACAGAAGCGCTATTTACAACGCTTCCAGGTGCCCAAAGCCAAAGTAGGGTTCACTGCCCTCGATTAATATTTTCGGGGGAGACATTGAATGCACCCGTCGGGATTTAGTGGGGCAGGCTCGAACGCCCCAAGACCGAAAAATAAAATAGACTTACTTCTCAACTGGAGACCCCAAACGGTCTCGTCTGCCCACGCAGGGCGGCCTTGAATGAGGCGAGGCTCGCCGTAAGGATAAAGAGAGAGAGAGAAAGCCCTGAGGAGGAAGGAACCACAAAAAGACCTCGGGTGTGCAGCGGGGGAGTGAGGCCAGTTTGTCACCTTTCTTTATCCAGGGAACTGTCTCTCGGGAAAGGGCCACACAAACAATGCCCATTCACTTGATGCTTAAATCTAGAGCCTGAAGCGCCTGATTCGTGGGCTTCTCGTGCGACCCGGGAGCTGTTTTGAAAGTCAATGGAGTCAAGTGACCTTCCACTCAGTTGTTCCCCAGAGGCCCAGTGTGGTTCTCGAGGGACCTGGCGGCCGCCGAGACGTTCCGCGGGTGCCTGAGCGGCCGCGGCCCAGAAAGTTACACCGCTGCGCCTTCGATTCACCTTTGCCCCTATTAACGGGTCCAAACGCTTGCCAGAGAGACTTCCTGGGAGCAGGTTCTGCCTTCGGGGTGGATCCGCGAGCCTTGGGCACGGGCGGCCGGAGGAGAGGCGGCCCTTCCAAGCGCAGCCGTCGGTGCGCGGACGCGGCTGCCCCAGCAGCCTCGGCGAGTCCGCGCGCACCCGCGGAGACGCGCACCCGCTCCCGCTCCCGGGGGAAGGCTCACGCTTCACCTTTCCGGGGCCAAGGGCCAAGGCCACGCGGATTCCCGCGTCCGCAGACGCCGTGCGCGGACTGGCCCCCTAATCCCCTTCCCATCGGCTAGACG